AATGAAAAGTAAGAAATGTATACAATATATACTACCAAATTGGAATACGTATTGTTGGGCTGTTTGTCTCCTCTTTCTTGCTCACCTCTAATACTCAGAATGTGATGATTTGAGCCTGGTGAATGAAAGGATACTGTCCCATCCACAGACATAAGGAGGTAGTAGGATAGTGATAGAAATAAAATTGAAAGACAAGGTGACAAATTGAGCTTTGGTCATTTGGGATTTGAAATGGTGGATGAATTATCAACCTGGAACTAAGAAGAGAGGATAACATCAAACATGTAACTGGGGGACTCAGTCACATACAGGTAGTCAAGGAAACGAAATAGGAAAATAAAGTTGCTCTTTAAACATCTTGGTTCTACATCCTTCCTACAACTGAACTACTAGAACTCTATGGTGCTAAAGGTTTCAACAGAGCAGGGATGAAGGCAAGGAAGTGTCTGCCCTTAAATAAAGTATAGAAGGGTGCCAAAAACATCCTAAATGCATTGTGAGTACTTACTCCAATCTGGAGGACTCCCCTAAGGGATAATCTTCACCTCCAGACACACACATATACACACAAAGCAACACTATAATTGGTAAAGATGTACTAATCATGAGCATGAGGCTTTTTAGGTAATACCCAAGGATTGTGAAAAAAAATTTGCTGCGATCAGTCCCCTTGCTGTTATCAGATGGTGATTTCACTCATTGTTATCCTAACTGCAGACACAGGCAATGGGACAGATATGACACATGTGTGTCTGAAACACTATTACAGATTCCACAGTGTAGGAAGTGCCCATGTGATGTGTCAATGTGGCTAAGTCACATATTCACCCCTTCACAATTCAATATCTACTAAAGAGGTATGGTTTCTGGGCCCTCCCCCTTTCTCTCCCTACCCCAGCTGGTGGTCTCACTTGTTCCATGGGAACACAGGGCCTACACTAGGAGTTCATTTAAATATAGTCTTCAAGAACGGTCTGGATTTAAAGGCAGATACTATCTGTAAGACATGAGGCTCACTCCCCATACTTTGATCTATAATGGGGAATACCATGTTGTTGTTTTATAAAACCTCCTTTAGAATAGGAAAGAGAATTGGTTTTCCATTTCAGTTGAGTGAATGGAACATTGAGTGAGAGTGGCAGATGCTGGCGTGTGGTAGACTGGCAAAGGTGACCTCTTGATTTCCTCAAATGTCAGCAGCAGGTCAAGGACTGAGATAGAATCTGCAGCTACTTTTAGAAGTCTACTCAGCCTAGAACTACCTACAGCAGCATATCACAGGCCCTCAGGAAGTTTCAGAAAACAGCAATATATGCCGAGGTACCCTGAAGACCTACCAAAAATAGGATCCCAGAAAAGTACCCAGAGTTTATCTAGGGATCACTAATGGCATGGCTGCCTAGATCATCAAGGAAAGATGAGCCCTTGGTAAAAAGGCTGTTTTATTCTATGAAATACAGACAGGTTTTTATTTCACACCCTTTGAGTCAGAGAGTAAAAAGGCTTAGCTCTTATTGGAAAGAGCTAATAGACTATAAGAGTCCTGGTGTGGTGCTGGGGGTTAATGCACTGGACTACAGTGTTGGTTTGAACTGCAAGGTCAGTGGTTCAAGCTCACCAGCCACTCCTCAGAAACCCTATCCAGGGTCTCTATGGGTCAGAACCAACTCGACGGCACTTAACAACAACAATAGACTACGAAAAATCACAGATGACAAGACATGCCAGGTATGTCTTCCCAATTCACAGGGATTTGGAAAATGTTCTCAAGCCAGAGCAAGATGAGCATCACTAGAAGTTAGCAGTACTGTTACAAATTAAAATAGCAATAAAAGCCTCCACCCATTGTATCCAGTTCTTCTCATGTCTATGATGTTTCCGCATTGAAAGTGAACTGCCTAAACGTACTGAAAGTGAAAAACTGCATTCATTCTTTGGGTGATTAAAGTATTTACCAAATGTGTGCCTCTTAGAGCAAATGATATTTTAATACATATTTATGATAGCTTTTAAATGATCAGGAGTACCTTTCTTCATCAGCAAAACGGAGGAAGATTCCTGACAAGATGGGCTGACACAGTGGCAACAACAGTGGGCTCAAACTTACCAACTGTGAGGCTGGTGCAGAACCGGGCAGTGTTTCATTCTGTTGTGCATAGGCTCTCTATGAGTCAGAACCAACTCAATGGTTCCTAACAACAACAGTACCTTTCTGGTCACTGAAAGATAAAGTAGTTCCCCAAACAATTTCCTGTGAGCTAGTAAATCACTATGATCTAGCTCAGCAAAATTTCCTGGAAGGGTACCCACTGTACCTGTTCTTTAAATTTGAAAGTCAAGATTCCCAACAAGAGGATTGAAAAGCCATAAAGCCGACCTAAAACCTAACCACTGGTCATATAGTCAATGGCCAGTGGTTAGGAAACACTAAGAACTAAGAGTGCTAAATTCTAAAATCATTGACAAACACCACAGAGGGTCAAAGCTGGCAGGCAAATTAAATGAAGAACCAAGATCCAGAAAGATGAAGGGATTCAACTAACTAAGAGGCAGAACTTAAGGGATATTTTACAACACCAAAGACTCTATCAGAGTTGGGCAGCTTGCAGAAGGCAAGTCAGGCGAATTCTTAAGATGATATCTATTCTAAAGTACATCTAGGAACAAGTAGCCATTTTGTTCCCTACCTTGCAGAAGGTATAGATTAGGAAATAGGCAGACTGAAAAATGTCCATCTGCCTTTTAGGGTTTTCTGAACTAGGAGAAGCATGTGGAAAACAATTGAAAAGTAAACTTTGCCGATAGATTGTTGTTGTTAAGTGCTATTGAGTCAGTTCTGACTCATAGCGACCCTGTATAGGGTTTCCAATGAGCAGCTTGTGAGTTTGAAACTGCCACCTTGTGATTCGAACCGACCTTGTGGTCCAGTGGCACCCAAGGTCCCATGGCACCACACAAGGACTCCAGGAGAATAACAGCAGGCTAGATGATAGAAGAGCTTGATTGTGAATCCAGGACTGATCCTTAGCACTCAAGAGCATGACTTCATACGATATGGTTTCCAGAAATCTCTGACCCATATATGTTGTTTTTAATTCCTGCTAAGTCAGCTCCAACTTATCGTGGCCATATGTGTACAGAACTAATCATTGCCTAGTCTTGTGCCATCTTCATGATCAGTGGTATTTGGAGTCTATTATTGCGGCTACTGACCAATGTATGTTGTTGTTGTTAGATGCCATCAAGTTGGTTCTGACCAAAGCGACCCTCTGCACAACAAAACAAAACACTGGCCGGTTCTGCACCAACCTCTTAATCATTGTTATGTATGAGACCATTGTTGTTCCCACTGAGCCAGTTCATCTCATTAGGGATCTTCCTCTTTTATGCTGATCTTCTTCTTGACCAAGCATGATGTCTTTCTCCAGGACATGTCCACAATAGGACATGTCCACAATATGAGAGATAAAGCCTTGCCATTCTGGCCTCAAAGGAGAATTCTGACTCTTCTTCCAAAACAGATCTGTTTGTTCTTCTGTCAGTCCATGGTACTTTTAATATTCTTCTCCAACACCATAACTTAAATGCACCAATTCCTCCATGGTCTTCCTTATTCATTGTACAATTTTCACATGCATAGGAGGCTAGTGGAAATGTCGTGACTTGGGTCAGGCACACCTTAGTCCTCAATCTGACACTCACTTTACTCTTTAACACTTTAAACAGGTCTTATGCACCAGATTTGCATAATGCAATAGATCATTTGATTTCTTGATTGCTGCTTCCATGAGTATTGATAATGAATCCAAGCAAAATGAAGTCTTTGACAACTTTAATCTTTTCTCCATTTAGCATGATGTTATTTATTGGTTCAGCGGTGAGGATTTTGGTTACTTTATATTGACATGCAACCCATACTGAAGGCTGTGGTCTTTCATCTTCATCAGTAAGTATTTTAAGTCCTCTTCACTTTCAGCAAGCAAGGTTGTGTCATCCATATATCACATATATGTTTCAGTTAAAATTATGGAGTATATCTTAAAGATGCACATATTTCAGGCATATTCACTTAAGTACTTAATATGGCCTCTATGTTGTTGTTGTTGTTAAGTGCCATCAAGTTGGTTCCAACCCACAGAGACCCTGTATAGGGTTTCCGAGGAGCAGCTGGTGGGTTTGAATAGCCGACCTTGCGGCTCAAACTGACCTTACGGTCCACTGCATTATCCTGCAATGCCACACCAGGATTCTATGGGAGTTATCAAAATAATCAATTCAGTAAACATTCACTAAGTATTAAATGTACTTAATATCTGAAGGATAAAGGATCTCAATAGGAACAGACATTTATTCTTGAGCATAAATCTAGTTGGAAAAGTGACTCAAACCTCCATCTAACTTCTAGAATGGGGTGTCCTGTACCTTGCGTACATAAAAACGGAAGCTTCTGCTAATGAAGTCTCTTAACAATAGATATGTTCATTGAGATTGTTCAACCCTAGACCAATAATTCAACACTGAGGAAAGTATAGGGGAAAAAACCAACACAACAGCAAGTTTAATGAATGCACATTTGAAAGAAGTTGTAAACTCCAATCTGGTGGTGAGAACTCAGAAAGTCCAACTGTTATAATAGTTTCATAATGACAGCACCTGACTTGGCCTCACACAATTCAACTGCTTCAGAAGAGAAAAAAATATGACTTAGATAAATAAACCTAGTTTCTATGGTATATTTGAATTTCAGTAGCAAGTTTCTCAAGATTTTGAACCCTGAACCAAAATTGTCCACTGACTTCAGCTGCTTATAGTCCCAAATTGCCTAGATTCATATAAATAGTTGGACAGACTAAAGAGAGAACTTACTCAAACCTAGTCATGAAAAAGAAAATAATAATATTCACCTTTAAATCGAAGACAAATCACAGGCAAAATTTTGGAATACATTCAGATTGCATATATATTAGAAAACTGTATAAAATCAATGTTGCTTCTCTTACCCAGAAAACACAAAAGAGCACTGTTATTACCAAGCTATAGAAAGCCAGGACTCCAATAGCCACAAATACCCAGAAGGGCTCAGAAGACTCAGTAGCTGGGGGAACGGGACAATGATGTGTCTCTGAAAAATAGAATAGAATTTGTTAAATGATACAGAACTAGAACTTGAGTACATTTCACTGCTTCTGAACATCATAGAGAAATCTGAGAGAAATAAAATATGCAAAATATCACTTAGAGTATTTAGACTACTTTTTTCAAGAGTCACCTGACTTTGCTGAATCCACTTTATGATTTAAAATGGTAACTTCTAATGAGCCTTAACTCAACCCTTCCCTGTCAGAAACCAGTCTATCTAGACCAACTAAGCTATTTACATCCAAGCTATATCCTTAGTAAAAGTTAAACAAAATACGTGCTTTCAGACCTTAAGAAATCATTAGCCCAATATGGCAATCATAATATATAATTAGAGAGAAAGTTCTAGTTGTAACTCTTTCAAATCAATTATAAAATGTTGGACAAGTTACTTTATGTCTTTGGGTATCAGAAATGTGGTGGGAGGAGGGGGGGCTTATAAAGTTCTATTCAACAGTCAACAAATATTACAACTCGAAAGAACACAGAAACTCTTTCAGCCCAAAGATGTCCAATTCTGCTTCGCAGTAGGGTTACCTGAGGAAGTTTGAAAATATGCCCAAATTAATTATATCAGAATCTCCAAGGATGGAGCCCAGGTGTTGGTATTTTTAAAACACACCCTAATTTTTAATATTAAACATTAAAACATTAGAGTAAAGGATCATTATTGTCCTTTCCAGTTCTAATATTCCATGTTTCTTAAATAAGCTCTAAAATCTAAAAAATAACTCAAATTTTAAAGGATTTCTTACTAGGATATGGTAGAACAGAAAGCCTGTGAACTTGATTTTCATATGCAAAAAGTCATCCCAAATAAATAATTTAAATTAAGTGTATATATATTCCAAAAATATTAATTTTTTTATGTAACTTTCATTTTAAGAAACTATATAAAGGATACACTAAAGCAAAAGACAGACAGCGCTTTACCTTACCATTCAGCTAGGAAAAAAATGTTTCCTTCTTAGCTTCTATAGCCTGCATGATTTTTTTCAGCCTTTGACTTGATCCAACTATAATATTCTACCTGGACATGTTAGATATTAAAAAACTGAATGGGATTCAGCAGGCAAAATATTCACAAATTAATCACCTCTATTTTGCCAGAGCATTCTGTTATATTAAATTAATGATACCTTCCTTATTTACTATCCTGTTTTCATCACCAAGCTCTGTTCTGACATTGAAGAAAGAACATTTACTGGAATTATACCAGTATTAAGAAGTATAAAAGTGAGCATATTTCTTATTTGGCATTCTATAAAAACAAAAAGCTGTAGCACATACATAAAATGTTTGACCTGTCTCAATATTGTTTGTTCTTAGCAATATGTGGGTTGGTCACAAATTTCATGGACTAATGGGATTAAAAGATAATGGTGTTTTTCCATGAACTTTTTGAAGCTCTCTCATATGTTTTTGAGTTTGGAAGTTTAACGATATTTCTTTCCAACATTTAGAAAGACTATAATCTCAACATGAACTCTAAATTTATTCCCATGAATTCCTGAATACTGCTTAATAGTTTTTGCATTCTAGGCAATGAAGAAGTTGGATCACCTAAAATCACAGACTTGGTTAGTAGTAAATTTCACGTCCCCTGGCTTCTAATTCAGCATCCTTTCAAGTAATTTTGGAAAATGGAAAAATACAGAGGAAGACCATGGATCACAAAAAGATTAAGAGCCCTATTCTATTAATTAACTGGAAAAATGGAACCCATTCTTCCTGAGTCCTGATCCATTAAACCCAGCTTCTGTGTTTACATTAACTTTACCTAAAGTAAATTGGTCTTCGTCCTTGTTTTCTTGAAGTTTCCAGAGTAATTGTAGTGTCTTTGTTACCTTTAGGTCTCTAGACCACACCTGAGTTCACGTTATTGAAATAATTCAAGTGGGACTCATTCTCCAGAAAGACTACCTTGTGATATCAGTTGATTTCAAGAGAGGGAACTAGTTGAATCAACCCATATAGCGAGGCCCCAGTCAATGCTCTGGACACAGAAGCTTCCTGGACTTCTTGATTGTAGACAGACATTGACACATTTTTGGGGATATGAAAGCACCACATTGGGAGACCTCACCCATACACCTCTTCATTTGTACCCTTTTTCCTATGGTGGTGGTGGTAGTTATGTGCTGTGGAGTCATTCTGACTCATAGAAACTCTTAAAGGGTTTCCAAGGTTGCAATCTTTAAGGGAGCAGAAAGCTTCATCTTTCACCCGTGGAATGGCTGGTAGTTTCAAACTGCTGACCCTGAGGTTAGCAGTCCAACTTGTAAACACTGCTAGCAGAATTCCTTTCCTTTTCCTATAATAAAACTATAATCATAAGTGATTTCTTAAATTCTGGGTCATTCTATCAAATTATTGACCCCACGGGAGTAGGAGGAGTCAGCAGATCAGAAGTGAGGGACCCTTAAACTTATGGTTGCCATCCTAAAATGGCAAGGGGGAAACCCTGAATTTGTAGCCAGTGGGTCATAAGTGAGGAGGGGTCTACAAACTCCTCTACTTGATGGTGTCTAAGGCCTTAGTCAGAGTTGGCAGTCTGGAGGACTGTGCTTTGTAACTTAAGATCTGACCTGGCTGTGGGTGATAGAGAGTCAGAGGAAGAAGTGCTGCATGTTCACCTAACATGGATCAGAACTGATCATTAATTGGTTTGGAAAGATCAAACATATATCTGGTGCCGGAGAAATGAAAAGTGGGATTTGTTTCATTCCATACACTGAGCTTACGTTTTAATGGCTGTTCTCAACATTTTTCTGCCATGACCACTTGAATAAGAGTAATCCTAAGAATGATCCATTTCCATGGGCTATGACATCACTCAGTGTAAGTGAGAGAAGGCAAAAATATTCAAAATGTAACTTTGAACCCCTCTAAAGTATACATATGTATAAAATATATAACACATACTATGTTGTTGTTGTTGTTAAGGTTCCAACGCTTTAAATCTTCCCAGGAGCAGAAAGCCTCATCTTTTCTCTCAAGGAGCAATTGGCAGGTTCCAACCACGGACCTAGTGGCTCAAAGTCCAGTGTTTATGGTGTAGAGCCACCACACTCCCATATATAAGTATATGTTGTTGTCGTTAATTTCTGTCGAGTCAGTTCCAACTCACAGCCACCCTGTATAGGATTTTTGAGGAGCAGTTGGTGAATTTGAACCACCGACCTTGCAGTTCAAACCAATATTGTGGTCCAGTGCTTACCCTACAGTTACACCAGGACTGCAAATATATAAATTGAATTTGTATATATGTATGTATATTGTTGTTATTATGTATATATATGTATATAGGGAGAGGTGTCCTGGTGTGGCGCTGTGGGTTAATGCACCAGACCGCAAATCCGTTTGAACTGCAAGGTTGGAGGTTCAAGCTCACCAGCTGCTCCTCGGAAACCCTATACAGGGTCGCTAAGGGTCCGAACAGACTCAACAGCACAATAACAACAACAACATATAGAGAGCTATAGATATATAGATATATACATTTCAATGTTATTATTACCTCATCACTTGGTATTTATTTAATCCCTCCACTGAACATGCAGTTTTGAAGAGTGCAGTTGAGAATCATTTTTTAGAGAGTACATTGTTAGAGTTGCATATACCTTTCACATGGATAATGGTTCCATTGTTCTTCTCAGTGCCTATGTAAGGAGGAGGATACATAACTTCGATTTTGCAGAAGTAAATATCCGTTTGGTTAACGCACAGATTCTGGAGGTAGAATGTCACTGTTTCATTGCCCAATTTCCCACCACAGTTGAATCCTGTATTTGAATGAAACTGAACTTGATGGGAGTAATTCCCATGCACAACACAGACTTCCACGTCGCTATTCACTCCCTTATAAAGGGCGGCCCGGAATTCCTTTAAGACGAGGCTGTTAGTATAGTTGCAGGTAAGGTTTACTTCATTGTTGTTTGTCACGAGCCTTGGCACCTGCTTCACAAAGATCTTGTATTCTGGGGGGGAAAAATAATTTGCTTAGAACAATGGTATATGAATTTTTTCCCTGAAATTAGGATGTATTAATTAACACAAGGAACAAAACTCCAACATTCATTGGTAGATGAATGTAGGAGCTCTTTGAGAAATATTTACACCTAGAGCTTATTTTTTTTCCTCCTTGTGATGAAACTGTTGATCATGTTTCTATTTGGAAGGCAGACTATGCTCTTCTATTGGCACTGAGCACCACAGATCTGCACCCTGAATTTTTGAATCTATATTGAGATTCCTAAAATGTTAATCGTGCATTGGACTGATTTCTTGCTGGAGTGGTATACTTGGAAATGGTTTTTAATGTCTAACACAGCTGTACAAATATATCTATTTTAAGTGGTGATACAGGCATTTGTGAAGGAATGAACATGTTTTGAAACATTTTGACTTTTTTTTTTTACTGGTCATTCCAAGACTAGACTAAGGTGTGTGTGGGGGGGGGGGGGGGGGAAGGCAACCTGAAGAGTTTGATTTAACTTATCAGAGAACAACCACATCAAGATATCCACATCTGTGTCCCCTTAAATCACAGAGACAGGTAAAGATCCACAAGAGCTGTCTCTCTGACCCATCTTCTACTTTTCTGTTATTCTGAAGACCATCTGATTCAATTTCTGAAGACCATCTGATTCAGTTTCTTTACTTGAAAGGCAAAGAACCTGAAATCAGTTTATAAAATCTGTAAAGAGAGAGAATATGTCTATCTGGTTGACTCCTGTGTCCCACTGCCTGGTATATAATAATGTACTCAAAAGTCTTGGTTTGTATCTGACAATCTACTCAAAGTGATTGCTTGTATAACGACTGTTTTAGACCTAGAGACAGTAGATGGGTTTTCTGAAGTCATTGAAAAAACAGGCAAAATTAGGATGCCTTAGAAGTACCTAGAGATTCAAATTTTAAAATATTTTTTGTTATTGTTTTGTAGCATTCTAATTACTGTCTACTTACTTACCATTTTAAAAGACAAAGGTCATTTAAAGCAATACCTTAACACCCACACAGAAAAGTTAATAAAATGATCCTCTACTAAATGGAGTTTATAATTGAACCAGAATTTGAATTCAAGCACTCAGGTGTCTTGCTTATGGTTTGAGAAGAAAGGAGTTTCGTAGAAATAAATCTCTAACATTTTTTCATCTCCTACATAATTTTCAATGCTGGCTGCAAGTCAGGAATTTCTCTTTTTTTAAGTATGTATACCCATGCTCAAGTTCCACTCCCAGAAATTCTCACTTAGCTGGCCAAGGCTGGGGGTATCTGTGTGTTTTGGGGAGTTTCCCTCTTTTTTTGTTAAATGCAACTTTGTTGAGATACAAGAATTATGCCACAAGGTTCACCCTTCGAAAGTATACAACTCAGCTGTTTTAGTATATCCACAAAATTGTACATCAATCACCACTATCTAGCGCCAAAACATTTTCATTATCCCAAAAATAAACCCTTTACCCGTTAGCAGTCACTCTCCATTCCTTCTTCCCTCTTACCCATGACAATTACTAATTCACTTTCTGTCTCTATGGATTTGTCTATTCCGAAAACTTTGTAAAAATGCAATTATACAACATGTGGCCTTCTGTATCTGACTTCTTTTACTTAGCATAAATTTTCAAGGTTCATTCATCTTGTAGGAAGTATTAGAATTTCATCACTTTTATTACCAACTAATATGAGTATACCATATTTTGTTTTTCCATTTATCAACTGTTTCCCATTTTAGTTACTATAAACATTGCTGCTATTAACATTTGTGTACATATTTCTATCTGTGTATACATATATAAAAATTCTGGTGTGGTGCTGTGGGTTAATGTGCTGAACTGCAAAGTCTGTTTGAACTCCAAGGTCAGCGGTTCAAGCTCACCAGCTGGTCCTCAGAAACTATACACAGGGTCAGTATGGGTTGGAACCAACTCGATGGCATTTACTGACAACATACATATGTAGGTACCTAAAAGCACTAGTACTAGAGTTCCAGTTCATGCATGCACTTGTTTATTCCAAACAAAACATGTGTAGATGTCTCTGTATCAGTGGATGCAGACAAGTTCTCCCAGTGATACCTTATCTTAGTCTCATCAGGGTGCCTTCAAAAACTGTGCAATCAACATAGTGACTTTTGAGGGGATCTGATGGGCGAGTTAAATTCAGGGGAGAGCGATCAGCTCAGAATGACATGTTGACTATATTTTGGGATTAGAAAAGTAGTAATCTTGATACCTTTTCTCAAAAGGCACAGGACAATCACAGGGGCTTATTAGGAAAAAGCTTTAAGAAATTTACAAACTGCATTGGTGAAAGAAAGACCAGAAAAGCTGCACTGAGGAATTTTTTCTTTTCCATCTTGACAATGTACCTGTTTATCCTTTGAATGTAGCAAGGACTGTCTTCTGAGGATTTCATTGGGAAACCTTATGTAACCCACCCATCAACAGTCTTGATTTTTGTCCCTTCAAACCTATTTTTGTTCCAAAAATTAAAATAACATTTCCAAAGGAAAATTATTTGAATCCCTCAAGGATGTCAAAAACTACAAAAATGAAGTGGTATAAATCAAAGAGCACAGAATTCTTCAGAGAAGAGTTGTTGCTACTGTTGTTGTTAAGTACCATCATGTCAGATCTGACTCATAATGACCCTGTATAGGGGTTCCAAGGAGCAACTGGTGGCTAGCAGTCCAATACTGATCCTTCAGCGCCACACCAGGACTCCGGGAAGAGTTGTTGTTAAATGTCACTGAGTCGGTTCTGACACGTAGCGATCCTGTAATAGGATTTCCGAGGAGCAGCTGGTGAGTTTGAACCTCCAACCATGATGTTCAAACCAACTAAATGCAGTCCAGTGCATTAACCCACAGTGCCACACTAGGACTCCCAGGGAAGGGTTGTTGTTGTTAGGTGCCATCGAGTCGGTGCTGACTCATAGTGACCTTATGCACAGCAGAATGAAACACTGCCCGATCCTGGGCCAACCTCACTACTGTTACCATGCTTGAATCCATCAACGCTGCCACTTGGCCAATCTATCTCATTGGGGGTCTTCCTCTTTTTCTCAGACCTTCCACCCTACCAAACATGATATCCTTCTCCGGCGATTGGTCCCTCCTGACAATATGTCCAAAGTATGAGAGACGAAGTTTGGCCATCTTGGCCTCCAAAGAGCACTCTGGCTGCACTTCTTCCAACACAGATCTGTTTGTTCTTCTGGCAGCCCATGGTACTTTTAATATTCTTCACCAATATCAGAATTCAAATTCATCAATTCCTCTTTATTATTCGTTGTCTTCCTTATTCATTGTCTAACTTTCACATGTATATGGGACAGCTGAAAATACCATATAGCATGGGTCAGGTGCCTCTTAGCTCTCAAAGTGACATCTTTAATCTTGAATACCTTAAAGAGGTCTTTACAGCAGATTTGCCTAATGTAATACGTCATTTAATTTCTTGACTGTTGTGTCCATGAGTGTTGATTGTGGATCCAAGCAAAATGAAGTCTTTGACAACTTCAGTTTTCTCCATTTATCATGGTGTAATTAATTGGTTCAGTTGTGAGGAATTTTGTTTCTTTCTTTACACTGAGGTGCAATCCATCCTGAAAGCAATACTTATTTATCCCCATCAGTAAGTGTTTGAATTTTTTTTTGGTTCCAGCAAGCAAAGTTTTATCATTGACATATCACAGGTCGTTAATGAGTCTTCCTCCAATCCTGATGCCACACTCTTCTTCATATAATCCAGCTTCTTGAATTATTTACTCAGCATACAGATTGAATAGTGATGGTGAAAGGATACATTCCTGGTGCATACCTTTCTGAATTTAAACCATTCAATAGCAATTCTGTTTCAACAACTACCTCTTGGTCTATGTACAGGTTCCTCATGAGCACAGTTAAGTGTTCTGGGATACCCAATCTTCACAATGTTATCCATAATTTTTCATGATCCACATAGTCAAAAGCTTTTGCATAGTCAATAAAGCACAAGTAAATATATTTCTGTTATTCTTTGCTTTCAGTCAAGATCCATCTAATGTCAGCAATGTCATCCGTAGTTCCATGTCCTCTTCTGAATCTGACAGGAATTTCTGCCAGTTCCCTATCAATGTACCATGGCAACCATTTTTTAATTGTCTTCAGCAAAATTTTACTTGCATGTAACATTAATGATATGGTTAGATTATTTCCACATTCCACTGGGCAATAAACAATAACTTAACATTTTTATATTTTTATTTAATAAGTTTCCATGATTTTGTAGCAATACGTTTTGACTTACCCTCTAATGTTTTCTATTATCTTGGATATACACCAAGGAATAGAATTGCTAGGTCATTTGCATAGTCTATGTTTAACTTTTGAGGAAGTGTCAAACTGTATTTCAAAGCAGCTGTACCATTTTGCATTCCCTAGCAATGTAAAAGGGCTCCAGTTTCTTTGTGTCGCATTTGTTATTATCCACCACTTTTTCGCATATCCATTCTACTAGGTGGAGTCCTGGTGTGGCGCTGTGGGTTAATGAGCCAGACTGCAAAGCCATTTGAACTGCAAGG